AGAGGAGTGGAGACGCTCCAGCCGGCCCTTCTCCACCCTGTGGCAACACTTTGCACCCTGCCGTGGGTCCCTGTGTTGAGTCTGGGCTTCAGGACCCCTCACCTCCAGCTCCAGTGCGTGGCTCACACCAAGGCAGCCAGCATCCTTCCTCCGCACATTACGGACTTGACCTGGGCCTGTCCCAACCTGGACAGGAGGTACAAGACGTGAGCCGTTGCAGCCGCCACGTTCCCCAGGCTCCTCTGCCACAGGAGGGGGTGGAACAGATGCATCCAGAGAGGCGGGGTGTGGGGAGGGCTTCTGTCCCCAGTTCTTGCTGTTCCTGTACCACAGCTGTGCCCGCCAGCTGGGTACACGGCACATCTCTTAGAGTGGCTGAAGTGAAAGGGCCTGACTATACCCAAGCCAGAGTGCGTGTGGAGAAGCTAGAACCCTTGTGCACTGCTGACAGGAAAGTAAAATAATCCAGCCACTGCAAGGTGTTCGGCAGTTTCTCAAGAAGCTCAACAAATGCCGCCAGTGAGCCGCCTGTTCGACCCCCAGCGTCTGCCGTGGCAGGTGGCGGCGTCCCCTCAAGGATGGTGTGTGCTGCTCCAGCTCTGCCACACTGGAGCAGTGCAGCTGCTCTTCAGTGACGGATCAGAAAGCAGCTGTGGGTTCTGCGTGTGTAGCAGAATGCGACTCGATGATTAAAAGAATGAGCGGTTGGTGCGCTCAGCACAGACCCGTCTTCCAGGTGTGCCGAGTGAAGGCGCCATGCACAAGCACAGGTTCGGCTTCCTGGAAGCAGCCCCTGAGGCAGACCTGACCTGCAGTGAGCACTCAGGAGCACCCTGGGAGGAGGGGAGCAGGTGTGGTGGCGTGGCAGGCCCGGCAGGCCCACAGGGAGAGGGATGAGGCAGGTCCTCGTGGCTGGGGCAGTCTGCAGGGCCCTGCCTTGCCGTGGATGCTGACCTCAGGGGTCTGTGCATCAGGCCCTTTGCCCTGACTCTTTCCTCTGCCTGGGAGTTGTCCCCAGGCCTCCCAAACAGCATGGAGCCCTCAGGAGCCCTTGCTGGGCCTGCCCCTGGAGCCACGGTGCCCCACTGCTCCCCTCTGTCGGCTTCCTTCCCCCAGCCTCGTTCTCTTTGCCACTTTCCCCACTGACTGTTACAGGCGCTAACTCAGGCTGTACTGTGAGACGGTTGCTGAGTCAGAGGTGGGCAGGCAGTTCTGGGGACGGAGGTGGGGAGAGTGGGCCTTCCAGGGTACAGGAAAGGGGTGGGGCGTGTGGAGACCCTGTGTGGGGTTCCACTCAGGGCCTGCGGCAGTGGGGCAGCGATGCAGACTTGGGCAGGACTCAAGAGAGCCAGGGAAGAGGTTTCTTGCACCCAGGAGGTCCGTGTTGCTGGAGGAGCACTCCCTGCTGCTGTGGAGTGGGGTTGGGTGTGGTTGGGAAAGGGGCTATAGCTGCACTGTTGGGATTTGTTAAGGATGGGATCCGTGAGAGCCGGGAGCCATGGGGGCCTGAGGTCAGACACAACTCAGGTGGGTCACAGTTAGGACACAGGAGTCCCTGTGGCTGCACAGAGTGAATAAATAAGTAAATTTAAAATAAATAAGCAAAAAAAATCTTCCAGGGTGGTCCCAGGCTGCTGCCCGGGAGTCCATCCACAGGACGCATGCTGGGCTGAGGCAAGTCTGGCTAGTGTCCCCGCACAGCTGCATTTAAGTCATGGACAGCACAAGATCCCAGCAAGTGCAGACCAGGAACCCCAGCCCCTGTAGGGCGACCACACCTGTTTCTCCTCTCCCTCTCGTCCAATGAATTAAAAATTTATCAACTCCCTCGCACAGAAGAGAGGGAAGTCAGGGCTGTGAGGTCTGCCAGCTCCTAGAGCGGCAGGGCCAGGGTGGGTGGGTTACAGGAGGGGCTGTGTTGTGATACATCGCACCGTGGCCTCTGCTTCCTGCTGGACTCCTTCTGGCGGCCACTTTCACCCTTTGTTCCTTGGTAGCCCACAGAGCTGCCCCTCGGACTGTAGATACATGGTCAGTGTGAGCTGGGAGGGAGCAGCAGCTGCCCCCTGGGCACTCCCAGGGTCTCAGTGGAGGAACAGCAGCCCCAGGGCCCGTCAGGGACAGGTCTTCTTCACCCTGCATCTGTCAAGAGGTCTGCCCCTCTGGGAGTGAGGCAGTGGCCTCGCCCACCGTGCAGGGCTGCTGCTCATCCCCCCAGTCCACGGGTGCCTCCCTCTCCCTCTGCCTGCTGAGCAGACAGGCACTGGCCTGTGTGACTGATGGCTGCTGACAGCCTGCAGCCTGAGAGCCCCTGGCAGGAGCTGACCCACTTTCGTTGCTGGGCTGGAAACATTTACATAACAGACGCCCAGGGCCCTGCTGTCCCCCTGACAGAGCTGTTTCTAATTAGAAAGGAGGCACAGAGCCACTGGCTGGCTGCAGCCCGGTCCAGTTCACGGGAGCGGGTGAATCTGCCTCAGCAGAACCCGGATCTTGGCTCAGGATTGGCTGGGCTTGCTGCAGGGCGCCTGTGAGGCACAGGAGGGGTTTGCCTGGTGCCACTACCTCCTCGGAGCTGCGTGTGCGCTCTCTGCTGTCTCCAGCCAGCCCTCTTCTGAGGCTGCGTGGGCAGTGCATGGGCTCGGGCGTGTGGGCAGGAGTGCTTGTTCCCGTGCCACTGTGTGTGTTGTGTGTTCAGCACTGGTGGGTGGCTGGTGAGTTCGTAGTTCTGACGTAAGTAGCTGCAGTAGTGGTGTTGGGTGGTGAGGAGAAAAAGCACTGGTGTGTAGCGCACCCTATAAAATGGGCGATTCAAATCCTTGCTAGTTATTCACCCAGTGCCGTTTCATTATAGTTAGAAGCTAACGGCTTTCATTGTTGAAGTTACCTGAAATACATTTTTAAACTACAGGTGACTAATACTTGGTGTTTTTATTTTTTTTTAAAGGATTATTTATTTGAAAGGCAGAGTTATGGGGCGGGGGCAGAGAGAGAATCTTCCATCCACTGGTTCACCCCCGAAATGGCCACAACAGCCAGAGCTGGGGCCATCTGGAGTCAGGAGCCAGAAGCTTCCTCTGGGTCTCCCATGTGGGTGCAGGGGCCCAAGTGCCTGGGCCATCTGCTCCTGCTTCCCCAGGCACATTAGCAGGGAGTTGGATCGGAAGTGGAGCAGGACTGGAACCGGCATCCCGACACTGTAGGCTGCGGCTTCACCGGCTGTGCCACAGTGCTGGTGCCATGGTGTCTCACTGATGCATCAGTGTTTTGTGGCTTCCTTCCGGGGACTCCTGGTCTCCAGTGTGCTGTCACACACGTGTCTCCTTACACACATTGCCAAGGGCATGCACTCTGTTCCTGAGCTCTCTCGTGTTTTCCTTTCAGCAAATTGTAAGCAGAAATATTTTGATGGTCTTTTTGCCACTTTTAACCTATAGTCTCCCCCGAGTGTGGCGTAGCTGCTCGTCTGTCCAGGAGAAGTCAGAGGTAGTGCCCTGGCAGCCCGACGTGGGGAGGGGCACACGCCAGCGTCAGGGCTTTGTTCTGCAGCACTCTGCTAGGCAGCCACGCGTGTGGTGTGATGCTTCACTTAGGGAGGCCTCCATGGGATTGTGTGGGAGGAGTGTGGCCCGTGGTTCCCTGAGAGGAACCTCCAACGCCCCGCAGCTCTGTCCACCTCTCAGGTGCACACCTGGTTAGGCATGTGCCGCTCCCAGAGCCCTGTGGTACTCCCTGCCCAGTGGCTCCTCCTGCCCCTCCCCCAATTCTGGGCCTCACATGGAACCGAATTCCTGGACAACACTGCACCCTCCCCTAAGCCAGCCCCTCCTCTGTCCTCAAAGAGGCACCTTGTTGTCCGTGACCTTCAGGTCTCCAAGTGCCCGGGGGCTGCTCATGTCCTTGTCTGTCTCCAGCTGCATGCCAGGCTGTGGCTCTCCAGGCCACACACTTGCACTTCTGAAGAGCTGTGTGAACACTGCTCCGCCCAGGGGCTCCTGCTGCCCTCAGGGCAGGCCCTGCAGCCCCTGCATTCCCCAGGACATCGCCAGATGCACCCCACTCCTTGCTGGCCCACACTTCTCTCTAATCCTTGCTGCCATTCTCTCTCTCTCTCTCTCTCTCTCTCTCTCTCTCTCTCTCTCTCCCTCTCCTGTTCCTCCAGGGCTCCAGGCCCTCCCACCAGCCCCAGAGGGAGAACCTGGCTCCTCCCTGAGAAGGGCCCCGCCTGGATACAGGAGTGGAGCCCTGCCGGGGTGGGGGGGGGGGTGGCAGCTCGTCACCCTGAGGGCCCCAGGCCTGGGCTGTCACAGTGATCATTTCACTTTCCCACAGGTTAATTCGGCTTTGCCGCCAGTAATCATTCTTTGTGTGAAAATCACGACGTGGAGCCTTAATGCTGGCCCATGGGCTAAGCACTGAGCGAGCACCCACGGAAGTGTGTGATTGCCGCAGACCTCTGCTGCACACTGTGTAGTGTGGAAGGCAGCGTCCGCTGGCTTGTAGAGGGGTGTGCACGGGCAGCAGCCCCATGGGTAGAGCTGAGTCCACGTGGCAGGTGGCCCCAGATGGAGGGGTCTGGGTACTTGTGCTCTGCTGGCCTAAGGGGAAAAGCAGGGCCTTCTGGTGTCCCAGGAGCCCCGATGGTTCAGAGAAATGGGCAGAGCTAGAGGACAGGAGCAGGCCCGTGCAGTGGGGAGAGGTGCTCCCTGAGGCTTCATGGGGCTGGCTGCTTTCACTCCAGCTCCTGAGAGGTGCTCCTGTAACGGGGCAGCTCCCTGCATGCCTGGAAACTGAGCGACCTAGGGGTTAACCACCTGAGGCTGGGATCCCACTGGGTGGACTATCCCAAGGCCCATCCTTGAACTACCAAGTGCCCATGCTCCCCGCAGATAAAGCCTCGTCACGCTGTCGCATCCCCACCTGGAGGCCAGGGAGTTCCCTGGGTGTGCATGGGCCATGGACGATCCTTGGGTAGCAGCTGCTGTGCCTTCTCTTTCCAGGTGACGCCATCTGGGCCCCATCCATCCTTGCTCACAGCACCCTCGGCACCGTAAGTCACCACCCCCAGCTGCACCTTGGGAGAAAGATGGAGTCCAAGGTCTCGGAAGGTGGCCTGAACGTGACCCTGACAATCCGCCTGCTGATGCACGGGAAGGTAACAGAACTGCAGAGGTGTTGCTCTTGCCCTCCAGGGAGGGAGGAGCCCATACCCAAGCTGAGAGCCTGGCTGGGAGTAACTGCTGCTGCTGCTGGTTTTTTTTTTTTTTTTTTTCCTTTTTTTTTTAAGATTTACTTATTTGAAAGTTAGAGTTGCACAGAGAGAAAAGGAGAGGCAGAGAGAGAGAGGTCTTTCATCCACTGGTTCACTCCCCAATTGGCCTTGACAGCCAGGCTGTGCCGATCTGAAGCCAGGAGCCAGGAGCTTCTTCCAGGCCTCCCACATGGATGCAAGGGCCCAAGGACTTGGGCCATCTTCCACTGCTTTCCCAGGCCATAGAAGAGAGCTGGATCACAAGTGGAGCAGCCGGGACTCAAACCGGTGCCCATATGGGATGCTGGCACTGCAAGCAGCGGTTTTACGTGCTAGGCCACAGCACCAGCCCCTGCTTCTTGTTTTAAGTAATCTCACACTTACAAAGCAGCTGATGTACAGTCCAAATGACACTTTTCCTGGAGCCATTCGAGACTAAGCGGAGGCCCTGTCTCCGACTGTCCTGTACCTGCATGTGTGTTTTCTACATGTTAGGCCTTTCCTTGCATGCCATGGTTGTACCTGTAAGTGTCCAGCCAATACTGCATACACACTGGCCTCCTGGCCCTCAGCTATGTCATCCCCTACTGCTCCCAGTAGCAAGGTGCTCCAGGCATAGCCACACAGAGCGTGCCCTTGTCACCTCCCTTGGTCCCCGTGATCTGAAATAATCCCTGCTAGACTGAATTTTGAGCACTTCTGCCCAGTGTGTCTGTAGTGTGTCCTCACCTTGGCTATCTGAGGCCCCCTAACCTTTGGCAGGGATGTCACAGTAATCTTCCTGTTGGTGGCCCAGGTGGTGCTGGGTGATCACTGGGTGGGTCTAAGGGACATTCTGTGTGCCACCAGACTCTCAAGATGTTCATCCACTTGTTCATTCACATCTTGTTGGGTCCCGGGTTTGTTGTTTTTCTCACTGGACTCACCTTTCAGTTCCCTAACTGTCCCAATCCATCTTGGCACTTTCCTGCCCTGATTCGGCAGATGATGGCCGAGTCCTTGTGGCAAGCCCCCACCATTCTTATGGCATCATCTGGCTTTCTGGCAATCTTGTCCCTCCCTGCACAGGTCCTCGACTCAACCCTGACCCTTTAGTGGACAGTGGTTCTGGAAGCCAGGGTCAGAGCCCCTGCGACATCTGTGCTGCAGAGCTGGAGTTACACACGTTTCTGTGATACACACCACAGTGTATGTCTCTATGGTTGTCTGTCTAGAGAGCCCTGTGAGTTCCAGCCCAACAGCACAGGGTCACCAGTTCCTCCTGCCCCGTGCTGGTGCCCTGAGAAGCTGCATGTAGCCTTCCTTGGGGGAGGCTGGTAGAGGCTTGCGCTCCAGTGCCTGCCGCTTCCAGAAGGCACACTCTCCTGCCCTCCTGCAGGAGGGACATCCGTCTCTGGGATGGAGAGAAAACGGCCTGCCTCTCTGCTCCCCACTGTGGGTACCATGCAGCATCTGTGTGCCGCCCGTGGGCTCCTAAGGTCAGCTCAGGGTCCCCATCTGCAGCGGCAATGGGAGCTGCAGCTGCCAGCGGCTGTCCCTGGGGGTAAAGATGTGTCTGGTCACAGCAGGCTCACACCTTCCACAGTCCCTGCTGCACGGGACCCACTGTGGCCTCCACTAGAAACCTAGTCACTTAGTAAGGACTTTATTGTAATAAAGAAAGCAAATTGGGGCCGGCGTCGCGGCTCACTAGGCTAATCCTCCGCCTTGCAGCGCCGGCACACCGGGTTCTAGTCCCGGTCGGGGCGCCGGATTCTGTCCCAGTTGCCCCTCTTTCAGGCCAGCTCTCTGCTGTGGCCAGGGAGTGCAGTGGAGGATGGCCCAGGTGCTTGGGCCCTGCACTCACATGGGAGACCAGGAGAAGCACCTGGCTCCTGCCATCAGATCCGCGCGGTGCACCGGCCGCGGCGGCCATTGGAGGGTGAACCAACGGCAAAGGAAGACCTTTCTCTCTGTCTCTCTCACTGTCCACTCTGCCTGTCAAAAAATAAAAAAATAAAAATAATAAAGAAAGCAAGTTGGATTTGGAAAGGGATCACTCTCTGTGGCAAGAAGCCAGGCCACCCTGCCTTGTGCGGTGGGTGGAGTAGGCAGGAAGGTGTGACCCCCAGCCTGCTGAGTGTGCCCACACCGTGCGGGCTTGACTGACACCTGTGGCAATGTATTTCAGTGTCACATAGCAGTAGCAGTGCTAAATTTTCTGTAAGTCAAAAATCTGGGGGAGATTTTACTTTTCATCTGTTTCTTGCAGTGTTTCCCTGAGGCCTTAAATGTCTATGGGATGCCTTCTGAGTTGTTCATCTAGAAAGCGGGTAGCCATTCTCCCCTTGCTGGGAGCCTGTGACAGTCAGCCCCGCACAGGCCTGGGTGATGCAGGTGCACAGGGAACTTCTGGGCTCGGCCTCTTACCGACAGCCTGAATTGGCTCCCTCCTCTAACTGCCGGGAAGGTCGGCTGGATTCTGCAGGGTTTGTCCTCCTTCTGCTCTGTGACACAGTCTCTCTGTGATTTTCCTACAGGAAGTTGGAAGCATCATTGGCAAGGTAATTACTGAATGAACTCTGCTTCTCTTGGGGCCTCTCCAAGGGGTCAGTGAGGACGGCAGCTGTCCTGGTACTGGGCGCACTCAACACTGTGCTGGGTGACGTTGGGGTCTCCCGTGGGGGCACCATGGTTGCACGGTCTTGTGGGCGTTTCCTCCCTGCTTTAAACTGCACCTTCTGAAGCCGGTCCCAGCTCTGTGGGAACTTGCTGAGGGACATGCTCCCTCGACCCCACTTTGGCAAGGCCCCAGTGACCTTGGCAGCCATGCTGCCCACTTCTTGGAAGCAGGCCCTCCTCCCAGACTGTGACCTGGTTGGCACTCTCCCCTGACCCTGGGACCTGAGCAGTCTGCAGTGAGGGACCCCTGTATCTTCCAGTCTAGAATAGAAGATGCATTCTCACGGGGAAAGTCAGGGCCGCTTTGGAAGCCGCTGCCCCTGGGGAGGAGGGGCTGTGAGCCAGCAGCCGCCTCCCTGACTTGGTTGCATTGTATCCGTCTCTGGAGGTCCCTGGTGTCCTTCCCTCCATCCTCCACACCTGGGGTCCTCCAGGGGCTCATTGCCCTAGCTGTTTCTCAGGAGAACTTCTGAGGGGATATCTCAGGGAGTAACCTCCAAACGGGATATAGGGACCATGGAGATACCTCCAGGCCCACAGACCCCTTCTACCCGCCCTGGCCAGCTTCACCACAGTGGGAATCTACTCAGCTTCCCCGGCTCCCACAAGGTTGTGCTGAGAACAGAGCCTGCTGGCCTAGTTAGTAACAGTGCAGCTGGGGCAGGACTGCCTGTGCCCCTGAGACAGACGGCTCCCCGTGGGTACACTGCACTAGTTAGTACACGGTACAGCTGGGGCAGGACTGTCTGTGCGCCTGAGACAGACGGCTCCCCGTGGGTACACTGCACTAGTTAGTACATGGTGCAGCTGGGGCAGGACTGTCTGTGCACCTGAGACAGACGGCTCCCCGTGGGTACACTGCTCTAGTTAGTACACGGTGCAGCTGGGGCAGGACTGCCTGTGCCCCTGAGACAGACGGCTCCCCGTGGGTACACTGCACTAGTTAGTACACGGTGCAGCTGGGGCAGGACTGCCTGTGCCCCTGAGACAGACGGCTCCCCGTGGGTACACTGCACTAGTTAGTACACGGTGCAGCTGGGGCAGGACTGTCTGTGTGCCTGAGACAGACGGCTCCCCGTGGGTACACTGCTCTAGTTAGTACACGGTGCAGCTGGGGCAGGACTGCCTGTGCCCCTGAGACAGACGGCTCCCCGTGTGTACACTGCACTAGTTAGTACACGGTGCAGCTGGGGCAGGACTGTCTGTGCGCCTGAGACAGACGGCTCCCCGTGGGTACACTGCACTAGTTAGTACATGGTACAGCTGGGGCAGGACTGTCTGTGTGCCTGAGACAGACGGCTCCCCGTGGGTACACTGCACTAGTTAGTACACGGTGCAGCTGGGGCAGGACTGTCTGTGTACCTGAGACAGACGGCTCCCCGTGGGTACACTGCTCTAGTTAGTACAGGGTGCAGCTGGGGCAGGACTGTCTGTGCGCCTGAGACAGACGGCTCCCCGTGGGCTACACTGCACTGGCTGCTGTCTCTTGGGCGCGGTCCTCAGGGACAGCTCCCAGTACCTCAGGGCTGTGCCAAGCTCTGTGCCATCCTCAGTGGAGTTGCAAGTGGTGCCTTTTTGTTTCATCTTTATTCCAGAAAGGAGAGACTGTGAAGAAGATGCGTGAAGAGGTGAGTATGCGCTCTGGGTGATGCTCTGTACCGGCTGGGGCAGAATGCTGAGGCTGGAGGGTCTCTGATGGCTCTGTCCATGCCCTCGGGGGTCTGCTGGGGTCCTGTCCCTGCATGCAGGGATGGGGTCTCTGCCCAGGGCTCAAGTGTAAGGAAGGCAAGCTCAGGGCCTGTCCCCTCTGACAGACAGCACACTGGGCAGGGGCTTCCCAAGGGGTCGCTTGGGTTCCTTTTGCTTGTAAAAGTTCACAATAAAAGGGGTTGCTCGTCAACTTCACTGTTCAGGGGTGAGGTTGCCAGTCAGGGCCAAGAGCCTGTTTGCATCAGTTGTTGCTGGTGCTGGCCCAGCGGTTGTAATCCGGGTTTGTTCTGCTCCCTCCCCCAGAGTGGTGCAAGGATCAACATTTCAGAAGGAAACTGCCCAGAGAGAATCGTGACCATCACAGGCCCAACAGACGCCATCTTCAAGGCCTTTGCAATGATTGCATACAAGTTTGAGGAGGTAGGGTGTGCCTGCTCAGAACTCCAGCCTGGTAGTGAGTGGGCCTGGTCTCAGCTGGCTCCCCAGTCCCTCTTACCCTGTGTCTAGACCAGCCCACCCAGGATGCCTTGCTTGGCCACAGGCCTCCCTTTTAGCTCCTCTGCCTCCCAGGGACTCGGCCCCACTGTGTTCTGCCTGGGGAGAGGCCGGCATCTCCCCCTCCTCCTTCTAAAGCCAGCCACTTCCAGCACGAGCATGTTGGAGAGGCTGCTTCATTCACGTCTCCTCAGACCCTGCCCCTAAGCACTGAGTTTACAGCAGCACCCCTTACCTCCTCCCCAGGGCACATTGCTGCCAGTGACCCTTGGGCTTTCCCCATACCTCCAGCGACCAGCCAGCCCTGCACATGGCCATTGAAGAAGCTCTGGCTGGCCTGACCCTGGTCCTCCACACACCCCCCCATATGCCCCCACAGCAGCTGACCTGGACACACAGGGACAGCCCAGCCCACTCAGGATGCCTTGCTTGGCCACAGGCCCTCCCTCTTAGCCCCTCTGCCTCCCAGGGACTCGGCCCCACTGTGTTCTGCCTGGGGAGAGGACAGCATCTCCCTCTGGGTTGTGTGTGGCTTGGTTTAGTTACAGAGGAATAAAGCTGCAGACACAGACGTGTGCGTTTGCATGCTGCTGTGAGCGTGTGTGTGGGTGTGTTTCACTTTTCTGTGCTGTGTCAGTGAGTTGAATCTCAGTGTTTTTATGTATTTCCAATTTTTTGAAATGGCTGAAAGTTACTTAGAAATGTATTTAGTGGCTTCATTCAAAGAAGGTGATCAGGCCGGCGCCGCGGCTCACTAGGCTAATCCTCCACCTAGCGGCGCCGGCACACCGGGTTCTAGTCCCGGTCAGGGCACCGGATTCTGTTCCGGTTGCCCCTCTTCCAGGCCAGCTCTCTGCTGTGGCCAGGGAGTGCAGTGGAGGATGGCCCAAGTGCTTGGGCCCTGCACCCCATGGGAGACCAGGAAAAGCACCTGGCTCCTGGCTCCTGCCATCGGATCAGCGCGGTGCGCCAGCCGCAGCACGCCGGCCGCGGCGGCCATTGGAGGGTGAACCGACGGCAAAAGGAAGACCTTTCTCTCTGTCTCTCTCTCTCACTGTCCACTCTGCCTGTCAAAAAAACAAAACAAAAAACAAAGAAGGTGATCAAGCTGGGAAATTAATTTTTTTCTGCCAGAAATGAGCAGCAAGCATTAGTGAAGTTGCCTTTGTGGGACTACACGAGGACCTTCTTCCCAAGGGAGCACAGAGCTTAGCTGGGCTCAGCCACTGTCACGGGCAGGGAGGGAGGGGAGCTACAGAGTGGCAAAGGGTGATTCCAGGGTGCTGTGGCATGGGGAGGCCCTGTTCACTGCACCTGAGGCCCTGTGTGGCTGGGTGAGGAACATCAGGCCTCCTCTGCTTGGTCCTAAGTCAGCAGGGGGCAGCCATCAGGGAAGCTGCTGTCACTCACCAAGTCCTGGCTCTTCTGAGCTGAGGCGGCAGAGGTTGGGGTCTAGCGTCCTGTGCGGTGGCTGCAGGGGCTGTGGCCTGGTGTTCTTTCATAATCTATGGTGTGGCTGTTGTCCATATATTACGTTTCTCAGCTTCCTCTTTTAGGCTGTCTCTCAGCTGTAGGAAATGGCCAGTTCAGGAAAGGTGACTCTCCAGCGACAGTAGCTGTGTGGGTGCCCTGAGACTCTGGATAAAGCAGAGCAGAGCAGCTCCATGACCGCTGGGACGAAACAGAAGCTAGCACTCGCTGTGCGGCTCCAGCTGCCCAGCCCAGGCCAAGAGGGCAAACCCACGGGCTGTGAGTCTCCACCTTGGAGAGCCAGGTAGCTTTTTCTCTCCAGCAGTGGGCACCCTATCCTGTGGACCTGGGACAGCAAGGAACACCAGCAAAGGCACAGCCGGCCACTGCTCCTGCCAGCGGGTGTAGGCAGCTCTGTCTTCACCCAAGGCAGGGTGGAGCCGCTAGTCTTCTGCCAGTCACTTCTGGTTGTGTGATCCCACCAGTGTGACCTTGGGCTGGTGGTTTTTCTGAACAGTGGAGCAGCAGTTCCTCCAGGAGAACACCTCAGTCAAGGGCAACCTGCTTCAGAACTTGAGTCAGCACTTCCAGCAGAGGCAAATGTGAAGAGTTCTCTGTGCAGAGAGCTCTCACGTACTGTTCTTAAGTGCATAAGGCCTTAGTCTGAGGTGAGCAGGACCAGCTGTCCTGGTGCCCGGAGAAGTAGCTTATGCTAGAGGCACGTGAAGACCTGGAAAAGAGCTGCTGCTCGTGGTGTGGAGCTGGGCACTCGTCAGTCACGCTTTCAACACAGCCATGGATATAAAGAAGGCCGGCGCCCACTTTCACTGGGAGCTCTGTGGAGCTCGAGTGGACATTGGTTTGAAGAGAGCCACAGACCCCAGGCTTACGCCCTACCCAGTGCTCCTCCAACGACAGACACACAAGTCGCCCTCCCAGCAGAAGGGATGAAAAGGAACACCTTGATTCGCCAACAAGGCCAGAAATGCAGGGACCCATGCCACAGCCCAGGCCCTGTGGAATCAACAGCCGAGGAGCCAGTCCAGACCCAGAGCTGGTTCTCTGTCCTCACTGCAGGAGCCTCCCTCATGAAGGCTGGGACCTGGGCAAGGGGCAGGGCAGGGGTGTGGCGATGAACAAGGCCACTTGTGCTGGGTGCTGGGAATGCATGCAAGGGGGTCGCCAGCATCTTCTGCACACAGCAGACTCGTTATAAAATGGCTTCATGCTGAACACGGCCTGTCTCTGCTCAGGTGGAGGCCAAGGCATAGGGAGCTCAGGGTAGCGTGTTGGAGCCGGGCTGCCTCCTAGGTGATGGATGTGGGGCATCTCTGGCCTCCTGGGGCTTGGTTCTGAGCTGGAAGTGGACACAGACACCAGGGGAGCTGGCATCCTAAGCCAAGTCCTGGCCCTTCTAGGCCAAGGGCAGCAGAGGCTGGGGCGTCTGGTTGCCAAGCTGTGGGTCAGTGCTCCCCCTTGGGGGTTCTTCCTCCCACCCAGTTCTCCTCTGCCTCTTCCTCCATCTGCTCCTCCTGAATGCACTGTTTTGGGAATGGTCTGAGGCGCTGTTTCCCCTAGGCTTGACTTGTTTTGGAAAAGGAGAGACGCAGCTGTTGGTGGAGAGTGAGCTGAGTCACCATGGCGCCCACAGAGCTGCAGCAGCTGAGCTCAGGGAGGGCTGGCCGCCGCCACTCACTCGCAGAGCCCGGATCTCCTCACGTCTCTGCTGAGCACTGCAGCGAGCTCTGGGCCTCTTCAGGGCCCGGGCTTCCTCACAGCCCTGACCCCTTCCCCCCATGCTGCAGCCATCGCAGGTACCACCTGCCCCAGGAGTCACCGGCCTCAGCCTGGAGTCCAGTTGTATCCCAAGCAGCAGAACATGAAGCAGATGAATTGCCTGCCCAAACAGCCATGTGCAGACCCAGCACTTACCTCACCTCCCACCGCCCTCGTGGCTCTGAGTTAGTGACACATCTCCCTTGCCAGACCGACACTGAGATCATAGCCCACGGTCACCCCACAGTCTCCCCTACACTCTGCCTTGGACACAGCCCCACTGGTCTCCTGCCCCAACACATCCCCTACTCCAGCATCCACTTGTCCCCTGTGTCCATCTGCCCACACCCGTCCCGCCCTTCCAGGTCTCCATGACAAGTGTCAGACCAGAGTTCTATGTCCCCTGGCCCGTGTCATAGTCCAAATCTGCGGCCCAGTGACCTCCCACCTTGCATGTGTGCTGTGCACAGTGATGTGTGTGGACACCCATATGGCCATCCAGCCATTCCTCTGTCCTCCTGGGCCTGGCCTAGCCAGAAGTGTCTGTGACTGGCCTGGCTGCCCACCATGTCCCTCCTCTGTTCTCAGAGGGCTTTCAGGCCCTTGGCTGGAGAAGCACAGCGGCTGCTTCCTGCTGCCCTCTGGTCTGGTCACACTGGGGTGTGGTCAACACTTGTCTGTCTTCCTCCCCAGGACATCATTAGCTCCATGAGCAACAGCCCTGCCACCAGCAAGCCACCGGTGACGCTGAGGCTGGTGGTCCCGGCCAGCCAGTGTGGGTCCCTGATCGGCAAAGGCGGCTCCAAGATCAAGGAGATCAGGGAGGTAACAGGACCTTGCCCTGCCCAGGAGGGAGGGGCCAGTTGCGGGCAGCCAGAGCAGGCCAGGTCATTTCCACAAGCACTGTGGGCATTGCAGGCTCCAGTGCCAGTCCCTGTGGGCCCTGGCAGCACAACGCTTGTGACAGGGACAATGAGTCAGTCATGGGGCAGAGATCCACCTTCAGAGGCCACGTTTAGAGGCCAACATGTGGGCCTTGTTGGTGGAGGGAGACACGGGGTTCCTTGAGACAAGCCAGCTGTGGTAGCCAGTCTTGTGGCTTGAGTCCAGTCACATGGAGTGTGCAGGAAGTGTAGACTTGATATCTGCACGCTCACTCTGTTTCCAGGAAGCCTCTGATTCCTCCCCACAGAGGGAACCTCTCTTTCCCTCTGACCAGCTCTGTGGAGGAGGTGAGAGTCCCTGTACTGGACTGATTCCATGTCCCTGAGAATGCCCCCCCAGGTTAAATGCCCCATCCAGTGTCACTCATGGGCCAGGACAACTCCTGCACTTGCACCTGCTGAGGGTACACCAGTGTTCTTGGAGGGAGAGGGTAGGGTCCTGCGAGGGGAGGTGATGGGGTGATGTGGTGACACAGAGGCTGGTGGGAGGGGAGGCAGGGCTCTCGTGCCAGCTGGACCTGTTACGCTGCATTGCTACCAGAGGGTTCTCCAAGGTGCAGACTACCCTGGACAAGCCCCATTGCCGTTCATTGCTTCTGTGGTCTGTCATTCCCTATCCAATGTCCAGTCTCTCCAGTCCACAGGTGCCCAAGTCCAGGTGGCTGGGGACATGCTGCCCAACTCCACGGAGCGGGCAGTGACCATCTCGGGGACGCCAGATGCCATCATCCAGTGTGTCAAGCAGATCTGTGTGGTCATGCTGGAGGTACCGTCTGCACCCCGTGTCCGGCCTGCTCTGCCTGTGGCTACCCAGCGAATCCACAAGGGCTTGGGCACCTCAGTTATTCTGAGGAGCCACACAGCCAGGGTTGGGTCAGGCTGGGTGGGCAGGCACCAAGGACAGGTTGGGGCATATGCTACCGCAGTGGAGGCACTGTCTACTCAGCCTGTGGGGGAGAATGTAGAGGGAGGAGTGAGCCACCCCCTACACCCTGGGGGTTGCATGGGAAGTATTAATCCCAGGGAGAAGGGTTTTCAGGAAAGAGTTGGGATGCCCACGTGGAAAAAGATCTGCTCGCCGGCCAGGGCTTCCTGGGGAAGAGGGCCACCTGCTGGCTGTAGGAGGGCAGAGGCTGGAGGTCCCTGCGCTCAAGGACAGAATGAGGGAAAGACAGGAAAGACCCTCATTGAGGAGTGGAGAAAAGTGGACGGAGGGGTTCTGAGAGAGATGCTACGAAGGCACAGCTGAGCCAGCCAAAACCTCTTGAAATTTGTGGGGGAAGAGCTGGCGCCACGTCTCACTAGGCTAATCCTCCGCCTTGCGGCGCCGGCACACCGGGTTCTAGTCCCGGTCGGGGCGCCGGATTCTGTCCCGGTTGCCCCTCTTCCAGGCCAGCTCTCTGCTGTGGCCAGGGAGTGCAGTGGAGGATGGCCCAAGTGCTTGGGCCCTGCACCCCATGGGAGACCAGGAGAAGTACCTGGCTCCTGCCATCGGATCAGCGCAGTACACCGACCGCAACGTGCCGGCCGCAGCGGCCATTGGAGGATGAACCAACAGCAAAGGAAGACCTTTCTCTCTCTGTCTCTCTCTCTCACTGTCCACTCTGCCTGTCAAAAAAAAAAAAAAATTGGGGGGGGGGAACATCCCTAAAAGTTGAATTTAAATCAGTCCCCAGATGCAGTGTCTGGTGGTCGCTCGACTCTGGGAGCTCAGGGTGCCAGGCGCGCAGCTCGCCTCTCAGCCCCTCCCACAGGGCTGCAACCTCTTCAAGAAGTTGGAGGTTTCTGTTTTCCTGAAGTATGATATTTTATAGAATCAAAATGTTTTTTAAAATTTCTCCTTCTGAAATTTTTCCCACACTGGTCAAGTTGACCACGTTGTACTAGTTAAAGTTCTCTGCTCAGTGTTCTAGTCACTGGGACGCTAGAGGCCACTGGCCCAAGGCTCATGAGAATGACCCAACCAGCTCGGCAGCATGGACACAAACTGGCCAGGGGCTCCTCATTCAGGCCCACACCCTGAGGATGTGAGGACAGCCATGCTGTGTCTCATGGCAGCAGAGGATACAGCTCTATGGTGGACACAACCTCCCGTGTCCATGATCAAGAGTGAGGCCCAGCTCCTCAGACAGCCATGGGGTCTTGGCAGAGCCTGTAATGGCATTGCCCAGCTGGAGTCCCTGATCAGACATGACAGCCCCTCAGAAGCAGGTTGGGGGAGCCGTGGAGCATCAGCACCCAAGGCCTCCTCAGTAGTGTAACGTTTAGTGACCAGTGAAAGTGCCCGCTGTGGGCCTGGCTGTGATGCCCAGTCTTGCTCGTATCACACAGCTCACAGGCTGGAGGGGAGGAGGTGTCATCACATGCAGACACAGACAGACTGAAGGGTCCGGGCAAGACACTGTCAAATAAAAGATGCTCTACAGGCCGGCGCCGCGGCTCACTAGGCTAATCCTCCGCCTAGCGGCGCCGGCACACCGGGTTCTAGTCCCAGTCGGGGCGCCGGATTCTGTCCCGGTTGCCCCTCTTCCAGGCCAGCCCTCTGCTGTGGCCAGGGAGTGCAGTGGAGGATGGCCCAGGTGCTTGGGCCCTGCACCCCATGGGAGACCAGGAAAAGCACCTGGCTCCTGGCTCCTGCCATCGGATCAGCGCGGTGCGCCGGCCGCAGCGCGCCGGCCGCGGCGGCCATTGGAGGGTGAACCAACGGCAAAGGAAGACCTTTCTCTCTGTCTCTCTCTCTTACTGTCCACTCTGCCTGTCAAAAAAAAAAAAAAAAAAAGATGCTCTACAGACCCTCTTCGCTGACCATGGAGCATGGGGCTTAGTTATGGGATATGCTTCGTGCCTTTAAAATTAAAGAAGAGCTGCCCCATGAGGCAGACAAGTCTGGTGGGGCCTGAGAACACAGGTGTTGCTACCAATGGCTGCAAGTAGCCGCCACTCCGTGGGGGAGCCAGTGGGCCCAGTGCCCAGAGCATCCCTCTCTTTCAGGGGATGTTGGGGAAGAACTGGACTTGGAAACCAGTTGGTAGTAGCTGGGAGCCATGGAGGGCTGGTGGGTGGGCACTGGCCTCAGTGTGGGTGGAGGGTGCCGCAGGAGGGGCCTGTGGAGCTGGGTGAAGGGAGCGCAGCGGCTGTGGCGAAGGGGGCCGGCTGCGTCCCCTCAGTCACTGCCCGCACAGCAGTCCTGATCCTGGCTGTGAGAGGCTCCCTGGGGATGCCTGAGCAATGCTGACACCGCAGCCAGAATCAAATCCAGCTTTCCCCACGACCCTGCCTTGTCACGGGAGACGGGCAGCAGGGCTGAGTCCACGCTGTTGCTCACTCTGCTGGGCGAGCCCGTGCCGCCCACCTGTGCTCAGCGAGTGAAGAGTGCCTCAGGGGAGCCCCCGCCCCCGTGCCAGCAGGGAGAGCTCACCTGCCTCACCTTGTGCTCCCGGGGGACCAGGGAGGCCTGGTTACTCTCACTGAGGAGAAAGAGGCGTGGGTAGAAAATGCTGGTGTCGGGAATACTGCTGAGCCTGGTGTCAGGACCCTGCGTCCTGAACACACAGTGATCCAGGGAGATGATGTCAGACCTCATCCTGGCTGTGGGCTCTTCATGTGGAGTCTAAGCTTTATGGACATGACTTCTTCCTGTGATAGGAACTGGATGTCACTGAGTTTCTGTGGCCATCTATGCTGTCGCCTCTGACCAAGCAAAGCCCATGGGGACAGTGGGCATGATGCCACTGTGCATTGGCCCGCAGGCCTCAGCTTTCCCCGGAGGGCGCACGCGAGGGTTTCTCTGGGACGATGCCTGTGCAGTGGCCTTGGTGCTGCTGTGGAAGCAGCTCAGAGGAGGCTGAGTCTGGGCCATGCAGCACCTCCCCAGCAGGGGACGTGTCTAGGGTGGGGGCTGTGAGGGCATGCAGAGCCCCAGCTGGGGAACTGGTGAGACGTGGTCCCTGCCCTCCCTGTAGGTGGGCTGCGATGGCTGGCTCGCTGCCCTCCACACCCCGGAGCATCCCTCACTGCTATGGTCTTGGTGCCCCGGCCACTCAGGCCAAGGTGGGGGTGGGGGAGTGGGGCGGGCAGGCAAGGGAAAGGTGCCTGGTGCCTTGCAGCTGCTCTAACCTCTCTCTCCCTCTCCTGTCCCTTCTCCTAGTCCCCACCGAAAGGTGCCACCATCCCCTACCGCCCAAAGCCCGCCTCCACCCCTGTCATTTTTGCAGGTGGTCAGGTAAGAGCCGACCCGCTCGCGGCCTCCACTGCCAACCTCAGCCTTTTACTGCAGCACCCGCCGCTGCCCGTTAGTGCACTCAGGTTTTCTCGCCTTCTCCCGTGCACGTGTCCGCCCACGCACTGGACGCAGAGCTCTTCTGGCCACGCTGGGCACAAGGGAGGGGGCGAGGCTCCCAAGCAGACGGGGGAACCCTGGGTCCGTGTGTGTCTAATGCTGCCCAGGTCTCATCCCTGGGAGTAGATGCTTCAGGGGGCTGGGCATTCCAGGGGCGCTAACAGCTCAGGCTCACGGAGAGGAGCTAGCCCTGAAGAACCAGGGCCCACTCCCTGAGATCCTGCTCCTAGACCCCCACCGTGTGCTGGAACAGGGCCAGAGATGTGGAAGAGACGGTAGTGTGGCCCCAGCAGGTGTCCTTGCAGGTGCAGAGTCCCGGGGTCCCAGAGCCAGGCCTTCTGTTTTTCTGTCACTGCCAGAGAAGGAGCTGGAAGGGCAAAGATGGCCAAGAGCTTCTGCCAGTGGCTAGCGCAGGCCTGGCAGAGCCTCTAGAAGAGAGCAGGAAGTGCTGGCCACACACACACCCCTGCACCCCCTCCACCAGGGCCCTGCAGCCGTGGGTGCAGGCAGACTGAAATGCCTGGGCCTGGCCTGGGAGAGCTCTGGGTCCAGCTTGGGCGATGTGTTTGCTCAGGGGAGAGCTGAGACAGAGACTTCCCTCTATCATCGGAGTAGAGAGAAGAGGCAAATGAAACTCTCCCTCGTGCTTTTCTTTACAATGTAAGGAATCTTACCAGATCTTCCCAGTGTCCCCCACATTTCCCTCTCTTCAGTGAGCACCACTACCATCCTCCTTGCAGGGAGCCAACAAGGCACCTCCAGTTCCATAGGCCAGGGCCTTTACTCATAGCCACGGGGATGCCCATGACACCACGCCGACCTCAGGACCACAGGTCACACGGTCACCCTGCGCAAGTCCTCTGCAGAACTCCACCTCCTCAATCCATGGCTAGTTAGGTTCTGATCTCTGCGGCCGCGGCCTCAGTGTTTAACCCAGTCCATGATGGAATCACATGGTAAGGTGGGGGACTTTCTCATGGAAAGGAGTGGCATTTACCCAAATACACATGGAGTCTGTAAAGTCATGTGTTTGCGGTCCCAGCCCCAGCACATGAGGAGAAGCCACCCAGGAAGAACCTTGCCATTGTCACTGGCCCCATCTCAGCTCACCCCTCCACCTATAAAATGCAACAGTAGCCCCAGCCCCTGTCCTGGGGCTGGAGATGGCTGTGCAGTGGATGTGTGTTCCTAAGGCTGCCACTGAAATGTCAGCCTTTGTAGACAAGGCGTCCATGTGCTTTTGTGTGGGGACAGAGTGACATAGGTAACCCCAGAATGGAGCCAAAACGCAAACTCAGAGGTGAGGTGCAGACCAGACAGGCAGCAGGGCCATGGTTCCTCTCCAGGACGCAGGCCCTGGGGCCCAAGTGCAAGACACAAATGGTACAGACTGGGGGAGGGGCAGCCCAAGGTCCAGCCCTGCTTCATCTCCGTCACACTAGGCAGGTCAGGTCAGGCAGGGCTGACCGGAGCGCCCCGCCGGGCCGTGGACCGTGACGTTAGGTGGAGTGCACTTCATGAAGCTGAAGATGAGGTCTGCAGATGCTGGCCCTCGTCTCTAGGACGTGGTGTTGTATCTGTTAAGATTCTTGTACCCTCTCTGCCAGCGACAACTCCTGGCAGATTCCAAACCCGAGGGGTACTCGGGGCCTAGAGAAGTGCTGTAGCCCCTGCGAGGTACCCGCTCAGGCACACAGGAGCCGCCCAGGTCTCCTGGGCCCCATTGTGGCCCAGTACTGGAGCCATATCCCTCACAGCTGTGTTCCTGTGCTGGTCAGTGTCTCTGCTCTCCCTTGACCTGTGGTGCGTTTGTGGTTTGGCCGCGAGTTTCTGGATCACCTGGAAGCACCTCGGTGGTGGACCTGTGGGGCATGTGAGGCCCTGCTGTGCTCAGGATCAGAGGGGCTGGAGGGAGGAGGCCGTGGGCGGACGTCACCGCAGCTGAAGGCGCAGGAAGTAATGAGGCCGCAGAAGGCCTGGGGCCCTGCCCTGCCCCCACCCCCGCCCGCCAACACTTGAGCCCAAAGATGACAGATCGGGTCAGTCCCACGGATGATTTACATAGTTTCTCATTTGGTCTGCCTTTTACAATATTGGTTCTGGTCATTTTTCAAGCTTTTTCTTTTTGTTTAGATTTCTTGGGATAAATATTTCTCAAAAGTATTCTCTCTGGTAGTTGATTAAATTTTAAAAGGTTAGCAATTAGTAGACCTATCTCTAGGAAGTTAAACAGATCATTCTTAAGTTTCCCCTTTTTACAAACCTTGGGGCTGGATTTTTCCCTCTTCCTGCTGACTGGGAAGGAGCCGGGTGCAGGGGAAGGCCATCCAGGTTCTGTGGTCTCTTTGTGACTCCACCAAAGTCTCTGTCCCCGGGACAGGATGGGGACTGAGGGAGAACGCTTCCCCCAGGGTCTGTGTCTTGCTGGGGCGTGGGGGCGGTGTCACCAGTGTAGCTGAGGCTCGGCTGCATTGTGAGCTGACTGTGTCTCTCTCTCTCTAGGCCTACACAATCCAGGGACAGTACGCCATCCCCCATCCGGATGTGAGTTTTCATTTTGTCTCCCTTTCACCCTTCTCTTATTATCATTTACCTACCTGCATGCCGCTGTTAATTGCTACTAATATTAATATTACACAATAATATTAATCTGTTTTCTCAGTGTCCTGACCTGTGTTGTAACCATATGACTTTCAGTAACCTTTTAACCTCTTAGCACTAATTCTGCTTGTGTTGAGGACTTGGCCTGATGTCAAATTGTTTGTTGTCCGCTGCAGTCCAGGGTGTCCCTCCCACTCATGGGGCTTCAGACAGTAACTGTAGACAGCTGCCATCGGTGCCTGCCTGTGCAGGTGCCATGTACAGATGGCCAGCCCTCTCATGCCAGGGTGGGCATGGTGCCTTATGAGTGAGGAAGTCAGGTGGTTATCACGCTGTCTTCATAGTACCTGGGGAAGGGCATGCAAGTGCCTGGTGAAGCCAAACCCAGCCTTCAGCGCCGAATGGAAACGGAGGGTCCATCTGCGCGCAGGGCCCCCGCCCCACTAGCTGAGGGAAGCCAGACGAGCGGTTTCCTTGCACAGATCGGAAGACGCCGCACAGCCCTTGTTCATGTAGCAGAACAGTGAGAATGTCTGCCTAGCCTGCATGCTCCTGGGACTCAAGGACGGGGGTTTTAGCAGAAGGGTCCGATGGAGCCCACTGGGAGTGAAGCGCTCTAGCGACCAGAGCCAGGCCTCTTGGGACAGCCAGGAGTTAGGAGTTCTGTAGGGCTTGCTCTTAGGGGAGTTCCACATACTCTGTCATTTGGGGGAGAGTTACACATATCCAAGGGATGGCCGCCAAGTCATGGCACCTGTCACAGCCTCCCGTGTTTGGTGGGTGGTGCAGACTCACCATGATCATGAAAGAGATCTGGCTGCACACCCAGAGCCGGAGACGAGGGCGCCATTGCCGCCTGTGCGCACACCGGGTCAGGACTTGCCTTTCTTGACAAGCAACAAGCAGGGTCAGCCGTGGAGCTGCCTCTTTTTCCACTCAGCTGCCTTGCAGGAACCATGGTGATGGTCAGGTCAAGTCATTTCCGTAAGTGGGGCATAGGAGTGCTCAGGCTGCTCACGGGGCCTCTCAGGCCGCGGCCTGTCCCATGCTGCTCCAAGACTGGGCTGGCTTAGACATATCCTGACGGCACAGCAGCCAGGGTGTGACATGGTGTTTAGGATGAAGCCACCCCGAGCAGCCTGTAGGGAGAAGGCTCCTAGGCTGGCTCTTCCGTCATGCCCTGCACTTCCTTGTGCAGAGGCCTGGGTGTAACGAGGGGCTCCGGGCAGTGGGGGTTCCAAGTCTTTGGGACCCAGAGGTGAATGGTAGCCCTGTGAGGGCCTGAGCGATGCTGGTGAGTAAGATCTGTGCTGGTCTGAGGGCAGGGGGAAGACAGCCAGGGGGAGGCTGCTATGTGCCGCTGTTGGCAAGCAGGGCGAACCTCAAGTACATCTTTTTTTTTTTTTTTTTTTTTTTTTTTGACAGGCAGAGTGGACAGTGAGAGAGAGAGACAGAGAGAAAGGTCTTCCTTTGCCGTTGGTTCACCCTCCAATGGCCGCCGCGGCCGGCGCGCTGCGGCCGGCGCACTGCGCTGATCCGATGGCAGGAGCCAGGAGCCAGGTGCTTTTCCTGGTCTCCCATGGGGTGCAGGGCCCAAGCACCTGGGCCATCCTCCACTGCACTCCCTGGCCACAGCAGAGGGCTGGCCTGGAAGAGGGGCAACCGGGACAGAATCTGGTGCCCCAACCGGGACTAGAACCCGGTGTGCTGGCGCCGCAAGGCGGAGGATTAGCCTAGTGAGCCGCGGCGCCGGCCCTCAAGTACATCTTGAGAAGTCTTCTTCAATAAGCCGTTCTGAGTGTGCCCAGCTCAGCAGCCGGTTCCCCTAAAGCAATGTGTGCTGTGCCCTGCTTAAGCCCTGGGGGCACCTGTACAGCAGGGCAGCAGAGGAGGGGGCACTGTTCGCCCAAATAAGACTAGAAGGCAGGGCAGGCGAGGGTCGTCGAGAGCTAACACTAAGTACTTGCGAAGCGAGCTGAAGATTCCATTTGCTTTCACTGCAGGAAGTTTCTGATGAATGGAAAAATAAACACTGGTGGCTTTTCTCTCTTAAGAGAATCCTCATAAAGCGAGACAGGAAGCAGTGACAGAAAAACATTGATGAAGCTCAGTCTTTGCCACCCTAGTGACATCCAGAGGCCACTTTCGGTGGTTCCCAGTCTGAGTCCTTTGGTGATTATACCACGACTGAAGTCATCCATGCCTCATTCTTGGTCACCTGCCCGAGACACTGCGGTCAGCTGGAGAAGCGAGGCTCTGGTCCCATCAGGCCTCACTGCTGTGCTTAGCTGGCAGTGCTACACCTGTGGACACTGTGGGTGCCTGCACCAGGGATGGGCAGGCTTCTGATAGAATGGGGTGAAGGAGATCAAGATGGAAGCCACATGGGGTGAGGGTCCAACTTCTGGGATATCCCAGCCTCTGTTTAATTCTGGGTTCAGGGAAGTCGCACTCAGACAGGAATGTTCGGGTGTACAAAAGCAGGTTCAGAAGCCTGCTTCTTTGAACTTTGTCAGGCAGTGCAGAGGCTAGCTCATCAGGCTAGGGTTGCTTGTCTGACCCCGGACAGGGGCTCTGAAGACTTCCAGGTTCTCAGACCTCCAGGTGCCATCTGGTGAACGCCTGTGGGTTTCCCATGACCCCAGAGCCTGCAGCTCGTACTGACACCTTTGGAGAAATTTTCATTTAAGTCAAGAGATTAGGGTTTCTGGTCTGAAATTCCAAAGGGTTGGGTACAGGTACGCATGGGGAGGGGGATTTTGATTGGTTTGGTTGATGGACGTTTATGTTGATGGGCTGTTTGCTGTTGTCCCGTGGGGTTTTCCCAGTACCTCTTAGAGACAGGAAATAGCGTCACAGACTGCTCGGGATGAGTATAGCGGCTCCCTGGCTACCTCGTTGTGTGCGACAGTGACTGGAGTTGCTGAGGTTCTCCCTGCTCGCCACGGCCGTGAGTCTGGAGGGGATGGATGCCCTTAGGACAGAGCCCCAGAGGGCTGCTGCCCTGCTGTCCCTCCCACCACGTGAGGCGCCATCTTGGAAAGCAGAGACCAGGTCCTCAGCAGACATGGAGCTTGCCGGTGGCTTCACCCCAGACTTCTGACCCCACAGCTGTGACGCCGCACAGTCCTGCGCGCTGTGTCGTGGCAGCAGGAACACAGGGGCACTCGTGGTTACCACCGCGCCGTGGCTTCTGTGGAAGAGGTCCTGTTGTCCACGGCAGGGGCAGGTCGTTATTCACAGAGGGCAACCCCACACACAGATTATAGGAAGATGAATGTCTGAGCGCTCACTATTTCTCCACCTAGAAAAAAGCACACATAATTTGGGCGCAGTTTTAAAGAATGCCTTCTACTTTACCCTTCCGTAAGTCATTAGCACCCTTGCCAGTTTTCTTCCAGTTTGCAGTGTTTTACCTGAATTCTTTGGAAGCTTCTGTGCTCATGACTCAGGCATCTGGGGAGGCACGAGGTTCTGAGGACAGCAGGAAGGACTTCGGGCACTGCGGCAGACGTTCCTGCAGCCAGCGTCCATCATGGTCTGATGGAGCAAGTTCTCCAGAGGACTGCTGGTCAGCCTTGGAAACTGTCCTCATAGCTCTGTGTGTTCTGCCAGAGGCAGGTCAAGTGGGGCTTCAGAACAAGGAAGCAAAGCAGGGCCACATCCCTGGGACGTGGAGCAGACGCAGAGGCGTGTGGGGCCCACACAGACTCTGGAAAGAGATGGATGGCCTGGTTCTGTCTCAGCCAGCGTTGCTGTGGTTCGATTACACCAGCCCAGTTAACACCAGGAAGGAGTGGTTTTCCTCTGGAAGAGATCAGAGCTAGCCAGCCCCGCCCTTACAGTGGAGTTCTATCCCAGCAGACCACTTTAGGTCAGAGACAGCCGACGTCAGAAGTGCACTTCCGGCACCTCACCTGCTGAACGTCCACACATGCACAGGCCACCGCGGGATCCCAGGTCGTTTCCTGCCGCGGCCCAGGATAAGAGAGAGGACTGTGCCACGTGCTGCGGTCCCAGGGGAATTTCCAGATGCAAAGCTCAGTGTCTACTGGATGCGCATGGCTTTTGGCACCATCGTAAAGTAAAAAGAAGTCATGGGTCGACCCACTCTAAGTCCAGAACCGTCTGTAGTGACCTGCACCCTCCTGTACAGTTCCTATTACTGCCCTTCTAACCATCACACCACTGCCTCCTCAACGTCCCGTCGTTTGAAGGGGTCTGTGGAAAGCACACAAACAGACGCTTGCCAGGGCCAGTACGGAACTTGCCACCTGTGCTCTTGCCAGGGTTTTGCACTCGCTCACCTGTGAAGTGTCTGTCCAGACCACCCCTCTGATGCACAGCAAGTAGAGGCTCCAAAGAGACAGGAAATGGTGTGGCCCAGCCACCTGAGTGACACACGACAGCCCGCACCAGCGTCCACTACGAAGTCTGCTCCTCAGTGGGCACATTGTGGGGAGCTGTAGAGACGCGTGTCATGGCAAGAGAAAGCCTCAGGAGGCCGCTTCGCCAGGTGCGCAGTGTGGCACCTCCATGGTGTCCAGCATTGGCAGAGCAAGCCAGCACAGCTGGGCTTTCCCTGCCGTTGTTCAGAGCCCTGCAGGAGGGAGAAGTGGGAGTGGGCGAGGGACGAGCGGCCAGCACCACATCTCATGGCCACCTGCCTACCAGGCCATGCCTCTCTGGCTCTGAAGCTTTTGTTCTTGGAGCGCCTGGAGCTTAGGGTCTTGGAGAGATGTGACCAGGGCCCCACCTACTGCCAGAGCAGTGCTACTGCACCCACTCCTCCCAACCGGCACTTGACTTCAACCTTTCCGTTCCCTCCCTCCTTCCCCTGGGGGTTAAACAGAGCAGCGCTGTCTTCTGCTGAACCAGTCCAGGCCTCTCGCTGAGGGCAGCACACCGTTCCTGCAGCTGCCCTCCTCAGAGCCCCACTCCAC